TTTTTTTTTTTTCGCGAGTAATCCTCGGCTGTTACTGTTCGTTTCGTTCGGTGACGCGTGTAATAATCTTTAAGTGGTGCGTTACGCTAATTAAATCGGCGGGACGAACGTGGAAGATAACGAGGGCGCAGACCGTTTGCTCGGGTTCATCGTCGACGCGGCGGCAGGTGAGTGTCAAAGTACACGGCGAAAATAACAGATAAAACGTTTCGACACTGGTCTCGCGTTAGGGGGAGATGTTGGTGATTTTTCAACGAATCCCGAAGGCCGAAGCGTTCGAAGCAGTTTAAGCCGCCGCCGCGATTTACGCGGCGATGTTTTATTTACGAAGTGTATTGTAAGCACGCGACACCGCAAAACAGGATGCACCGGGCGATTAATTAATTAATCGTGTGCATGCGTTTTTACCTTGATGCAGTGTCGATACGAGACATCGATACGAGCGTCATTACTGGACATTACTGGGCGAATTTTTATGCATTTTCCTGCAGATATAATTCTAAAATGAAAATTCTTCTACAGAGTGTGAAGAATTGCAACCTGTATCTGTGAAATATCCAATTTTAATTTGAATTTAATTAATTTATTTAATTAACGGGGCACGAGAGTCCTTTTACGACAAACAAAAACTACAAAATATAAATGCAGCAATTAAATAGTAATTCAGTTCGTTTTGCCACTTGTTGATGGCGAGTTACGTCAAAGTGATTTGAGGCGAATTTGGAGGCCAACGATTATGAATTACGAATGAATGAAATTGATAATGGAATTAATATCGAGGAGTTTTCTCTGGTATTGAGACTCAATATCGTGGAATTTGTAGGTTATGTACTTACATACTTGAAGAAGACTGATTTATTAACCATGTTAATATTCAATACTGCTAGATACGTAAAGTAATTTCTATTCTTTTTCTTTTCTCAGAACGTTGTTGTTTGCTTTCCGACGAAATTTTCAAATGTCCCATGCAGCCATGTTGTTCTATAGCTGCAGGGAAATTTCTTCGATCCTTCGCGTAAGGCTTCTGCAACAGTGTGAAAGCGCCTCGTTCAAGAGGTGGAAACCGTTTAAACAGCGACGAAAACAAGCGTGCAGCGAGAACGAATGGCACATGCAGAGGGAAGGAGCTTTCGGTCAACTTTCGCTGGACGCGCGAGGATTTCGAACGAGCGTGTCCGCCCCGAGGCGACGGGAGTTTTACGAGTTGCGAAAAATAAGAAAGTTCGGCGGCCGGGGAGCCGATGCGCGTCACGTGCCGGCGAGTCGCGCGCGACAAGTCAATTGGTCAATGAGGAAAATTGGCTAAGAGTTCATGAATGGGCCGGCGTGAATAAAGTGGCTGCATGTTAGTATAGGTTTATGGAAGCAAGCCGGTTTTAGCTACGCTAATAGCATAGTAATGCTGGCTGATCTTTTCGAAATCCCGTAAGAGCATTAACCGCTCGCACGTGAGCAAGTTAAATTGCTATGTTGTGGGTATACGCCCGGCTATGTAGCTATCACCTGGCTACAGGGCGTAACGAAAGGAGGAGGGTATCGCAGCCAGGGATCGACGTTTCGAGAAAAAGATAACTGGCTGACTGGCGTTCGTCGAACGGGTTCCTTTCTCCCTCTCCACCCTCCTCCCTCCCTGCCATCCTCCCCCCTGTTAACGAGATTAACCGCGAAACCGTTTCCACAGACACGACGAGCAGACAGACGGCGAACACCGAGAGGATCGGCGACGAAACGTTCTCGTTTGCCACGACTTCGTGGCTTTGCCGCCATCCGAGACACCCGTCACGTACGTAAATCATCACTGTCACGATTCGATCATTGGCCAATGTTCTAATCGCGATGACGGGTAGGTATCTTCACGTCGCAAGAGAAATTAGTTCTGGATTGAGTAATATAGATCGGTGATCGGTGATACCTCGCGAAAATATCTACATAGCATCGCGAATGCGAGCATCTATTGGTTGGCGAGGAATCGATCGCGATCGGTGAACGCAGGAAGAACAGCCACGGCAGCTGTGTTCGTCCATTTTCTTCTACCTCGAGTCTGCTGGCGTATCTTTTTCGCATAGGTGGAAGAAACAGGGCGAAAAGGAAAGGGGGTGAAGAAGAGACATACAGAGAGAGAGAGAGAGAGAGAGAGAGAGAGAAAGGAAGAGAAACTTGGAGCTGGGATATATTTTTAGAGACAGACTCTCTCTGTAGGCAACGTTGTGCGGCGAGGAAGCGTTGCCATCGTGGCTGGTTAGATCGGTGGCGCGGCCTGTACCGATTGGTTCCCCACTACTTTGGGATAGGTCTCGATGCCACGGCCCCGGCCACGCCGACTTTCCACGAGCAGACGCCGTTCGGCATTGTTCGTGGTTCCATCTCGTTCCCACTACCTCCGAACGTAGCGTCGTTTCTCCCTCGACTACCTTCACTCTCCTTTCTATCCGAAGCCAGTTCGTCCGCGTTCTCTTTCCCATCCGGATCGCCGTTCCTTCTCCATCTCCGCGCAAACGCAGTCGAACGATCCGTCTCGTTCCCTCGCGCCGGTCGCGCGAACCCGCATACACGTTCTTTCTTCATCGCGCGTTCGTTCGTCCGTCCTTCGCCGCGCTGGCACGGCTACCCCCTCTTCGGCAACGTCGGAGCACCCCATCCTTTCCGTGGTTGGATATCACCCCTCGCTCCTCCTCTCGACCGGTTCGCGGTCCGGTCTCCGCCGCGGCGAGAGCCGAGCGACCGACCGAGCGAGCGCACCCCCCGCGCATAACCCCTCGGCCAAGAGAGCGATCCGTAACAACTAAAGTTCTCGTGAAAAGTTGAGCTGGGCTCTCCTACGCCCTCCTGCTATAATAGCCGCGCTCGCTGCTCTCTCTACCTACCGTCTATCCCTGTCCATCTGTCCGGGTTTGTCCCACATCCCGCACACGGAACGCCGCCGCGAGCGAGAGTGAGCGACCGAGAGGAAGCAAAAGAGAGAGGGAGAGAGACACACACACACACACACACCACACAACACACATACACACATACACACACACACACACACACATATACACCAAGCACACGCATATACATACATATACGCAGACGCACAGGTACATACACACGCAAACACACACATACACAAAGAGACAGACAGAGAGAAAGAAGGAGAAAGAGAGAGAACAAGATAGTGCGACGAACGAAACGGAGACTCCGACCGCCGTGAAACAGAGAACGTGTCCCGCGGACAGAAAGAGAAAAAGACAGAGACGCGGACGGATTAGGGAATAGAATAGTCATTATCGGTCTACATATTCGTGATATACTCTATCGGACGTCCACGGTAGTGCGAAACGTCGCGGCGCAGTAGCGACGAACGTGTGTGCTGTGCGACCGATCAACCACTGGAGGGATACCTAACCTTTGTTTTGCGACCGTGTCGAACGTCACCGTGTCGGCATCAACCGGCTCCACCTCCGGCATCCGGCCGATTCTTCGCCGAGGATTACCTGCTCCTTTTTTCGCAACGAGGAAACCCTTCGTCGGCTGCCGCCTTCGACCATCGCCACGCACCACCGGTGAGTACTTTGTTTACCTTCGTCCAGAGAACAACCCTCGGCTGTAGTGTGCAGTTCTTCGGCTTACGCGGTTGTCGTTACGCAGCGTCGTTCTAAACGCGTGGAAATTTGTGCCGTGCAGTTCGTGACGACTCGACGCCGTTTGTGCTCGTTTCCCAAGTGATTTGTTCAAACGGAAAGAAAAAAAAAAAAAAGAATAAAGGAGAAAATCGAACGTGTCGCTTGGGTGATTCGTGCGACGTGCGATTCTTCCTTTGTCTATCGAAATTAGGTGGTGCGGAATCTCGCGACGTATAAGAATCGCGAACACTTACGCCGACACGAAGCGCGTCACGGTGACCAAGAATCACCAACGACGAGTCTATCGATCGGATGTTTACTCGTTTCGTAACAGTGACTGGGCTTCCCTTTGTAAGTAAGGTACGTCGGAATCTCGGCAATTTGCGGGACACGGCTTGCGAGGCAAGGTGAACGACGATAATTCATCCTTATGCCGAATACCTACCGGCGTTGGAGCGACGCCTGAACGACGGGAATCGTAAGTCGACGAATTGCTTTTTTCTCAATTTCACACGCCGATCGGACTCTATCGTCTTTTGTCACTCGAGACTCTTCTTTCCGCGGGAGAAAGAGAGAGAGAGAGAGAGAGAGAGAGAGAGAAAGAGAGAAAGAGAAAAAAGGGAGAGACGCCGCGGTATCAATTTTTTATGGACGTCGAGTTATCCGTACGATTACTTTTCGCGGTAAATGGGAAAAAAAAAGGACGAACGACAGCGGAGCCGGAGGGCAGGGGAAAACCCAACCAACGGAATCAACCAAATTCGGACGCTGCGGTGCGCGAAAACCTCGAAAATGCCGGCATTTAATCGGCGAGGCGTACGCCGAGCTTTCATTCAACCAAAGAGAGAATATAAATCCGCGAACGAACGTAGCTCTCGAATACGCCCCTGCAATATTCCCAAACAGCGAGAGAACTCTTTTTTTTTCTCCTCCCACCGAATCACGCAAAAAAAGACTGGAAAATTACACTGATTCATAAATAACTGCGCGTTGCAACTTTCA